GTGTGCAGTCTCCCTAGGCCCCCCCGTGTGCAGTCTCCCTAGACCCCTCCGTGTGCAATCTCCCTGTCCTCCTGTACATATGCCCCTCCGTGTGCAGTCTCCCTAGGCCCTCTGTGTGCAGTCTCCCTAGGCCCCCCCGTGTGCAGTCTCCCTAGGCCCTCTGTGTGCAGTCTCCCTAGGCCCCGCCGTGTGCAGTCTCCCTAGGCCCCCCCGTGTGCAGTCTCCCTAGGCCCTCTGTGTGCAGTCTCCCTAGGCCCCTCCGTGTGCAGTCTCCCTAGGCCCTCTGTGTGCAGTCTCCCTAGGCCCCCCCGTGTGCAGTCTCCCTAGACCCCTCCGTGTGCAGTCTCCCTAGGCCCTCCGTGTGCAATCTCCCTGTCCTCCTGTACATATGCCCCTCCGTGTGCAGTCTCCCTAGGCCCTCCGTGTGCAATCTCCCTGTCCTCCTGTACATATGCCCCTCCGTGTGCAGTCTCCCTGTCCTCCTGTCCATATACCTCCTTCTTACAACCACATCAGCACCTGGTCACAGTCGTGTTGGCCTCACCTAATTCTGTCCACTGTGTATATCACCGACTTCTTCCTCCTGTGTCTTCCTCTTGTTTTACAGGCTCTGCAGAGCAACCTGAAATACTCCTTGTTGCCCAGACGGCTCATCATCAGCAAGAGACTAGCTCAGTGTTTGCATCCTGCCCTGCCCAGTGGTGTGCACTTGAAAGCCCTAGAGACCTACGAGATTATCTTTAAAATTGTGGGAACCAAATGGCTGGCCAAGGATTTGTTCCTCTACAGGTACCACTGCTTTTCTGCTGCATCATTATTGCCCGAGTGATCCCCATTTCAGCCCACAAGATAAGAAAGTAATAAATGAGCAAAACGAGCATTGGGGGTGTGTGTGTGACCGTTCCTCATAAAGCGGTCACCAGGAGGTGAGCGTGGTTCACCTCCTGGAGCATATCTGTTCTGACTTGTCTCTAAGTGGGATCTGATTGTGCAGCCAGCTTGGTTGCCTGCTCTTTACGTAATAGTTTTATGACCCTCTGGTGCCAAGCACACATCTAGGCCAGGCACTGTGATTTGCACGTATAATCATAGCACTTTAGGAGGCCAAGATGAAAGGTTTGCTTGAGCTTAGGAGTTTAAGACCAGCCTGAGCAAGAGTGAGATGCCATCTCTACTAAAAAAATAGTGAAAAATTAGCTGAGTGTTGTGGGGGGCGCCCATAGTCCTAGCTTCAGGAGTATGAGGCAGGGGGATGGATGTCTTGAACCCAGGAGTTTGAGGTTGCCATGAGCTAGGCTGAGGCTATGAGGACACACTAGCCTGGGCAATAGTATGAGACTCTGTCCCAAGGTGGGGGGGGGGGGAATCCACACATCTGGATCACCAGATTAAAAAACTTGTCTGTTTGCTGCTTTTTAAAATTCAGATGAGGTCTCGCGCTGATGCCTGTGCTAGAACGCAATGGTCCCATCATAGCTCTCTGCAGCTTTGAACTCCTGGACTCAGGCAGTCCTCCTAACTCAGCCTCCTGAATAGCTATGCCCACCATTAGCACCTGGCTAATTTTTTTCATTTTCTTAGAGATAGGATCTTGTTATGTTGTCTAGTCTGGTCTCGAATTTCTGATCTCATGCATTCCTCCTGCTTTGGCCTTCTGAGTCACTGGGATTGCAGACGTGAGCCACTGCCCCCAGCTATTTGCTTTTTAAAACTCCCTTTAGCTGGTGTGGCACCTGTAGCTCAGTGAGTAGGGCACTGGCCACATACACCCAAGCTGACAGATTCCAGCCCACCCAGGCGGCCCAGGCCTGCTAACTAGCAATGGCAACTGCAACCAAAAAGTAGCCGGGCGTTGTGGCGGGAGCCTGTCGTCCCAGCTACTTGGGAGGCTGAGGCAAGAGAATCGCTTAAGCCCGAGAGTTTGAGGTTGCTGTGAGCTGTGACACTATGGCACTCTACGGAGGGTGACATAGTAAGACTCTGTCTCAAAAAAAATAAAACTCCCTTTAGCTGACTTATTATTTGGGACTCCTGCCTGGGTGTCTCATCTCTGCCCTGTTCCCTCTTGTTCTTTCTCAAAGCTGTGGCTTATTCCCTCTCCTGGCGCATGCAGCTATGTCGGTGAGGCCCGTGCTGCTCGGCCTGTACGAGAAATACTTCCTCCCACTGCAGAAGCTGCTCCTGCCTAGTCTGCAGGCCTTTGTCGTCGGCCTGCTGCCCGGCCTCGAGGAGGGCTCCGAGATTTACGACAGGTGGGTGGGCATCTTATCCAGGCTGTGTTTATCCTACTACTTTATGAGAATCAGAAGGGGCAGAGACAATGTTTCATATTTCCCTGTGACTTGACAAAATATCATGTTCCCTCTGGGAATCCCTCTGTCTCTCCGTGATGAAGAGGAAGTCCCAAGTTTAGGGAGATGTGATCCTTTACCAAGAGAAACATAGTTAGTAAGGTCATAGTGCAGGGTTCCACTGCACCCTGTCCCATTACAGCAGAGGTTCTCAACCTGTGGGTCACGACCCACAGCAACTGTATAAAGGGCTGCAGCATTAGGAAGGTTGAGAACCACTGCATTATAGGTTTATAGAGCAGAAGACATACATGAGAGCCCCATTAGCAGAGGAAGTGAGCAGACCCTAGCCAGACATGTTATCACATTGAGTCCTGTGCTCCAGGAATTACGTCTGCTCACAGGTGAGAGTAAGAAGACTCTCCAGTTGCATGGCCAGTGAGCAGCAGAGCTGGGGTTCTAATCCACATGTGTCCAATTGGAAAGCCTCCTTTGTTCAGTTATACTAGGCCACTTCTAAATAAATGAGGTCAAGATTCATAGGCAGGGCTTGAGAAGGTAATCTGGTATGATGTGAACCAGAATACCTTGAGAAATTTCAGCAGCACCTTAGAGAAATTTGCAAAGCTCACATGCGCAGAAATTCCCACAGGGGTTTTTGTTTTGTCACTATTAGGAGCAGGAAAAAGTGTGTCTCCCTGCAGGCTACTGGGTATACACGGTGCCCTTTTTTCCCTGGAGAACTATAAAGTAAGAACTCACTTTTAGCATTTTAACAATTCTGAGAGATGCCACAGTAGCTAACCTCTGTTAATGGGACCTGCTCCTATCCTCAGAGAAGCTGCCATTTGATTACATAAAGTCTGTGCTCACCTCCCTATGCCAGGCTCAGCCAGGTTGCCCTTGCCATGATGTTGGCTGTTGTCTGAAGGGTGTGAGCAGTTCAGGTGGAATCAAGGACTCAACCCAAGGCTCAGCGCCAGCCACATGCACCTAAACTGGAGGGTTCAAATCCAGCCTGGGCCCGCCAAACAATGACGGCTGCAACCAAAAAATAGCCGGGCGTTGTGGCAGGCACCTGTAGTCCCAGCTACTTGGGAGGCTGAGGCAGGAGACTAAGGCAGGAGACTCGCTTGAGCCCAGGAGTGGAGCTTGCTGTGAGCTGTGATGCCACAGCACTCTACCCAGGGGGACAGCTTAAGGCTCTGTCTCAAAAAAAAAAAAAAAAAGGACTCAAGTCAAGGTCCACTTGCAGTGTTCACCATCCTCAAAGAAACCACAGGATCAGAGCCGTGGCTCTCCATTTCCCAGTGGAGCCTCCCCCTATACAGTCAGTTCCTCAGAATCTGTCTTGTTGCCATTTTAAGCCTCTCATGGTGCCCTGTGGCTGGTGCACAGCGCGCTTGGTGAGGTGTTTGTGCTAATGAACGGTCAAGTCTCATGGGAGGCAGCAGAAAGGCTATTACAGACTCCATGTCCCTGGAAAGAGCCCAGCCCCAGGCTCTTTCTAGAGGTTGTGCTACATTCATGTTCCATAACAGATAGGGGGAGTGTGTGTGTATATATACATGTTTTTTTCCATCATCTGCGTTCCCAAAACTTACTATAGTCTTTTAAATCTATAAGTATAAAAATCACATGAGAATCGTGTAAATAGTTGGAGGGGTTTTGTTTGTTCTTTTGGTTGATAAATGAAGGTTAATTTGAACAGTTGCTAATGTTGTTTAACATTGATAAATTTTTTTCCAAACATTGTGATTTGTTGACATTGCACAAGAGCTGAGTAAAGCTTTGAAAATCACTGAACAGAGTTAGCCATGATCAGAAACCAAGTCTAGAGCCACACCCAGAAGTTTTTAGTTGTCAGCTGTCCAAGGGAGATGCTGGTCAGAGGCTGAATCCCCTCTGAGCGGGCGTGTTGCAGGCACAGTCATCGACTCAGCTACATAAGATTTTTTTTGTTGCTTTATCCATTTTAGACTGAGACAGTTTGGCAGCTGTTCCCAAAAGTGCATAAGAATTGGGTGAAATACTGTAGCAAGTATTGTGCAGAAACAGGAAAGGAAGGGCAGAGTATAGGGAGAAATTACAAAGGGTGACTTAGGCTGGGGCTGGTGAAGGCTGGCGTGACTCGCACGTTGTGGGTAGGGGTGGACGTCTCTGGTTTGTGCTTTTTAGTGAACTATAAGGAACTGAAACTTTGGCTGTGTTCGGTCTTACTGTTCACCTTGACTTTCTAACCCTTTGAGTCCTGAGTCCTGTGTCCGCTATTGGCCATAAATCTTTTTTTAAGGTACCAGGAGATAGGTACATACTTTTCTCACTGTACTCAGAAAACGAAATTAGAAAGGCGAATGAATTACTAATCTCTTATAAGGCGATGAGAAGTGGTCAGTGTTTTTAACGATTTGTAAGAAGGTAAAAACTGGCTCACTGGAAATTTCTACTTAAATCAATGGTTTTCGTTCAGCCTGGGGTGATTTTGCCCCCTGGAGACATTCGACCATGTCTGGAAACATTTTTGTTTGTCAGAACTGGGGGTGGAAAGGGTGCTCCTGGCATTTAGTGGGTAGAGGCTACAGGTGCTGCCTAATATAGTACAGCCTGCACAGTTGCCACCACCACAAACACCTGGCCGCAGGCGCCGTGTTGTGGAGGTCGAGAAACCCCATGTAAATAGTTTAAAAATATCAATGAACTTTTCTTCTGGTTTCGTTCAGGTATTATAATGATGAGCTCTTCTGGGTCTAGACTTTTTTATCCCTTCCTTAGCACCCTATCCAATCTTTATTTCAGGGTACCAGATAGCAGTATCACTGCCCTCCTGTTGAGTTTTAGATGATCACACCCAAACTGCACAGTCCTCTGCCAGCTCGGAGATCCACAGCTATCTGTTCTGTGTGTCCGGGGAGCAAAAGTGATGGGACGTGTGGGGATTGCAGCCCCAGCCCCACGCCACACACTCGTTCTCAGTTGAATGGACCCAAGCGTGTCTGTGTCTTTGTTTTCGGGGTTTTTTTTAAGAATATAAAAGTATATGTTTATTTTATATTAGAAAGAGGGGAAATAGTGGGGGGAAGAGATAAGAGGGAGAAGACAACAGAGAGCAGGGAGTGAGAAGGGAAGACGGGTGAGGGGGAAAGTGTGAGAGAATAGCACAGCATCCCAAAGAAAGGAAGGAGGACTGCCAGCTGCGTCTGCGTCTTGAAGGAGCTGTTTGTAAGAGGCAGACTCCAGCAGCAGCCAGGGTGAGTAAAGAAGAAAGGACACACTCTGGGTTTGGGGGTTCTGGTGTGGGATGGTTTTGAATTAGAAGTATAGGGTTCTAGACTGTATAAACTGAGCACTCATTTTGCATTTCCTTTTTTTTTTTTTGAAATAGGCTCTCACTCTGTTGCCCAGGCTAGACCACAATGGCATCATCACAGCTCACAGCAACCTCAAACTCCTGGGCTCAAATGATCCTCTGACCTCAGCCTCCCAAGTAGCTGTGGCTACAGGTGCACTCCACTGCACTCAGCTAATATTTTTATCTTTTTGTAGAGTTGGGGTCTTGCTCAGGCTGGTCTTGAACCCCTGGCCTCAAGCGGTCCTCTTGCATCGGCCTCCCAAAGTGCTAGGATTGCAGGTGTGAGACACTGTGCACAGCCTAATTTTGAAATTTAACAACTGAGATGACATTAGTTTTTAACCAGTTTTTGCTTGTCCATAGCAAAGGTTTGTCATAATTGCTGTCTTTTCCCCTGTGACATCATGTAAATAAATTGTCTCATTAACTTTTTTTTTTTTTTTTT